ATGCTAAACAGATATTACTTATAGCATTGCATGGGATAAAAAATAAATATGAACAATATAGTGTAAGAGCAAGAGACAGAATTGAGGCTTCTTCTCCGGGTGCTGCCTCCATAAGTTATCTGCCACCTCAAATATATCAAATGGGCTCTCTGAACCTGTCCCTTTATTTAATAAAATTGAAGGAGAAAATTCTTTTTCTATTTAAAAAGTTAATGAAATGTTTCAATGTTCAACATCGTTTTGCTTTCTTATTTTTTCTCTCTTCAATTTTTTTCTTATTCTTACGTGAGAGTATTTGTGGGACAAGGTTCACTGTGAAATGAAAAGCCTTCTACTGAAGTTTCACAAAAGGGTTTTGCAAGTTGAAACAAGTTTTAACTTCAGGTCTCTTAACCCTTCTCCTATTTAACCATCAATTGAGACTCTTCTCAGGGTGTTCTAACCTCCGCCTCCTCTTTAACTCAGGTGGCACTGACTTGCTTATACTTATTCTTCTCTTGTTGGAGGACTTGCACTCTCAGAGAGAAAGTCAGTTAAAAACAAGAGCAGAAATCAATAGCTGGAATCTTACCAGTGGACAGGAATTTTAGTTTACTTTTTTTTTTTCCCATAGGGAGAAGAGTGCTTAGAGTTTTGATTGTATGGTAGAGACCTCTAAAGCATTTAATTAAGATGTCTGAAGCAGATAATAACAAATTTAGAGGGCTCCATGAATGATCATCCAGCAGACATCCTGGAGACAAACACACACCAAAAGCAAAAACATGTTTCTCCTCTGCCTCTTCATCCTGTGGACTCAGCAGGCTGACCAAGCATGTCCCCCAGAGGTCAGTCCACTGTGGTTAGAAGAACATCGATTCTTCCTTAAGGCAGACCTGAATTATTATCCCGGATCTACCACTATCAGTTGTAAGACTAAAAGTTACTTAAGTTCTCTCGCTCTCAGTTTCTAACTATAAAAATTGAGTTCAGAAATAAAAATAAGATCCCCCATCCCCCAACCCACTGAACAGACTCCCTCTTGGCCAAGGCAACTCCAGAGAAACCTTCAAAACGGGGTTCCCGGCTGTAACAGGACCAGAGGTTTGATATGTATCAGTATGCCCCTTCCTCATTAAACTTTAACCAGAATTCTTTCCTAAGAAGTAAGCAGACGCAAACTCTGGAAAACTAGCAATAAAGGATTCATTTCTTTATTGCCTTTAGTTAGTCATCTCAGGCTGCAACTGGACGCCCTATCCCTCTCTGTGGTTGCAACATGACCGCTCACTGGTTTCACAATGCATCCCTTCCTAAAAACTGACACCACTATCTCCAGACTGGTTTGGCTGGCTCACAGAGGATGGACAGCGATGGTTTTCGTGTCCCCTGCTTCACCTTTTGATGTCAGAGGGCCAACCCAGCTCCCCCACATCCCTGCTGCAGATCATGCTAAGGCTGCCATTTTTTAAGCATGCAACCCATGAAGAGGCATGAAGCTCAGTTGTGCATGCCCTTGTCTCTCCTTTCATAAAATATTCATGACTTCTCCTATAGTCTATTGACTATGTAAATTCAGCCACTGCTCAGCATAAATTCCCGTTCCCTTTACCCCTCCCTCAAAGTGCTTGCTCTCATTTCTGCCAGAAGTGATGCTTCCGTGTAGGATGACCAGCCTGCAGACTGCAACCCTTTATGAGAAATTAGGCTCTCCCTTCTAAATGCATGAACATTGTCATTCTTCAGCTGTCAGAGATGATGCAGAGTTTTATGGTTTACTAATCAAAACAGTTTACTGATAAAGTGTTTCAATTATTTATTACTACATAACAAACCACTCAGGAACTTGGTATAACAATGAGTATGTTATTATGCTCATGAATTTTTTGTGTTAGGAGTTCAGATGACATAGCCAACATGGCTTGACCATACTCCACAATGTCTGGAACCTCAGTTTGGAAGACTCCAACTTGAACGGCTGGAGGCTGGAATTAACCGGAGACTTCTTCACCGTCAGGTCTGATGCCTGGGCCGGGAGGACTCACAGCTAAAGCTCACTGGCATCTCTCAATGTAGTCTCAGGGCTTCACCTTGTGATTTCTCCTCCAGGCCTCTTCATCATGTAGACGTCAGGGTGGTCAGACTTCTTATATAGCGCTCAAATGCCAACAGTGAGCGTTTCAGAAAACAAGGTGGAAGCTGAACAGCCCATGATAATCTAGCCTTGAAAATCACATAGCATCCTTTTTACCATGCTTTATGGGTCAGTGCAGGTTCTAGCCCTGAGATTCAAGAGGCACATACATACTATATTTGAAAGCATCAGTCTCACTACCTGGAATATTGTTGGAGTTCCAGAAATGTTATAGATCATATTGCCATAAACCAATTCTCTGTTGTAATAATACTGTAATAAATAAATCATAAAATATGTGAGCCTATACTTTATAAGGCACTTTTACATTCATTAACTCATTATGTCACAATGCTCCTCTCTGGCCAGATAAATCTTTTTCCTTATTTTGGAAATAAACAAAATAAAAATCCAGGAGGTTAAATTAGTTTACTAGAATCACGACAGCTAATAAGTGGTGCCATTGAGGACAAAACCCAGGATTTCTGTGGCATGGTGTGGTGGCTCTTGCCTGTGAGTCCAACGCTGTGGGAGGCCAAGACAGGGAGAGTGTTTGAGGCCAGGAGTTCGAGACTGGTCTGGGCAACATGGTGAGAAAACATTTTTAAAAACTTAGCCAGGTCTGGTAGCACACACCTGTCTTCCTAGCTACATAGGGGCTGAGGTGGGAGGTTTGCTTGAGCCCAGGAGTTACAGTGAGCTATGATCCTACTATTCCAATCCAGCCTAGGCAACAGAATGAGATCCTGTCTTTTAAAATACCACCACCAAAAGCAGAAACAGCAACAACAAACCCAAAACAAACCAGGATTTCTAATTCACGAAGCAATCTGCTTCACTTTGTAGAGTGAATGGTAAATAAAAATACATGCCGATATGGAAGTATACAGTGTCTTATATTAGGAAGATCTGGTAATCATCGACAATTTCATCTCATCAGCTATAAAACTTGCTCTTATGTGTGTGTGTATACTTATATATAATGCAAGTTCTTTTTATTTACGTTTCTTTTTACTAAGTTGTTAGAAAAATAAAGAGGTAACAACTCACATTTGTAATATGTGACAATATGTTCTGTGAAAATATTCTTTGGCTAAATCCTCCCCTTTTTGCATTACAGGAGACAAAAATTCCTGACAGACAGCCTTCTAGAAACCATTAACGGTTATTTATATGTCAACACAAATTAGTTTCTCAGGCTTCCTCTCGCTGTGAGTTATGTACCTTGAGGGTGACACTCAGTCGTCTATTCCTCTTCTCCCTCAGTGGGAACCGATCTTATATCAAGGTGTGAAACTGATGGGTAAACATTTAATCCCATCCTCCTTATTAAAGAAAGTTTCAGGAATGATCATATGACCACATTTTGGCTAAGAAGCAAGAGAAAGTTTGTTGGGGCTTCTTAGAAGGTTTTCCTCTTTTGAGAGACTCATGGGAATTTTCTTTATCTCTTTTTTTATTTTTATTTTTTTTGAGACAGAGTCACCCAGGCTGAGTGCAGTGGAGGATCTCAGCTCACTGCAACCTTCACCTCCTGGGTTCAGGGGATTCTCCTACCTCAGCCTCCTGAGTAGCTGGGATTGCAGGTAGGTGTCACTACACTCAGTTAATTTTTGTACTTTTAGTAAAGATGGGGTTTCGCCATGTTGGCCAGGCTGGTCTCTAACTCCTGGCCTCATGTGATCTGCCTGCCTTGGCCTCCCAAAGTGCTAGGATTAGAGGAGTGAGCCACTGCGCCTGGTGGACTAGTAGGAAATTTAACACTCTGACTCCCTCAGGATCCGCATAAGAAAAGCAGGTTTTCCAGGTGAGAGGGGAAATGCTGAAGATAAAATCCATGCATAGAGAAGGACATGTCCAAGACAATCAGAAAAATGCAGCCATATTAGATGCTGCGAGTGCCTCACCCTGATCTCCTAACAAATTAAAGCATACCGCTGCTAATAGCTGTTCTTTCCGCCCAAGAATTGCTCCCTTTAGATAAGAAGCTCGACTCCCCTCTGCTGGAAGTTGCGCACCTCGTTCATCCCTGAAATAACCCTCAGCAAATGTCTGACTGCCACAGGAGTACAGAAGACCACCATCCTGTTTCAAGGTGGGACTGGCTTTGTGGTGCAATTCATGCCCCGAGTTCCCTGTGGAATTAGGCGGAAGCCGATTCCAGTTGATAGCACATCTTTGCTTCACTCCTTCTCTGCCCCATCCTGTATTCCTCACTCCCTTTCTTCAGACGGCTTTTCCTCCACAAACTACATAGACCCAAATACCTGTCTTAGAGTCTTCCTCTTGGGAACCCCAACTTAAGGCAGTGCCTGAAAGCATTATTCGGCCATGCATGGCACCTGCCCTGTCTGTGTTCTGCCAGTTGTGTGCATTAGTACAATTTCTTGTGTTTGAAGACAGTATGTATAAGGTTTTTCGGTAACTTGTAGCCTGAAGTTTCCTAAGGAATAACACAGAAGTGAATGGTCTTTGACGGGGAAATCTGAGTCAGAAAAGGTACATAGCATGAGCTAGGTATTAAGGACAGGATTTGACTTTTAGTGTAGAACAGAACAAAGAATCCTGCACTCAGTGAAGGGTAAGGATGTCTCTGAGATAAATATTACTGAAGGTATGCAAAATATGTGTTTCTGTGAGGTAGTATTTGCGTGTACACCTTAGGAATTCTAGGAAGTCAAGCCAAGTCATATCCACTAATGAAACTGTAAGACAACTGAGAGAAATGAAGCAGGAGGAGTTGACTCAAATGACCAAATATCATTGCCACTATCACACATTACAATGAAGAGACAACTTAATCCCTAAAGGTGTCATTTGGGATATGGAATTTTAAGGACTGATCTTGAGTCACAAGACCCATGTCCCCATCTTTAGGGTGTAGATAGATGTAAGATCTGGGCCTGTGCTGACCGATACAATTGCCATTCATCACAGGTAGCTACTGAGTACTTCAAATGTGACGTGTCTGAATTAACATGTACTGTAAATACAAACTATAAATGAAAATCAAAGACAGTACAAGAAAATTAAAATATCTCTAATAATTTTTTAGTGATTTTTCTTTTGAAATTTTAATGTTTTGTGTATATTAGGTTAGATATTATTGAAATTAATCTTATGTTTCTTTCTATATTTTTTAATGTGGCTGTAGAAATTTTTAAATTACAACCGTAGTTTACCTCAAATCGCTATTAAACAGCACTGATATGAATAGTTTAAGGCACAAGTCTGTGTCATGTCAATAACATGAAGTTCAGGTCTGCATCAAGATACTAAAATTTCCTAAAGAGAAGCAGCTTGTATTTATAGGTAATATTAGCATGAAGACATCATGATTAAATAGATAACTAAAAGCCACACATCCAGGAAATCTAGTGAAGATTAAATCATAATATGTTCAGTTGAATACTTTACAAAATGACGTGCAATACGTATAAATGTGTCTTTTTGTGGCACAGTAAAAATGGCTGAAATAACATCAAGGTACAAGGTAGCAACAGATTAAAAAGCATTTGTCAGTAACTTACTCAGAAATTCACAGAAGACATTGCCAAATGTTAGAGCAAATCGCACGGTGTAGGAAGATGATTTACAAGCTGAATAAAAATACAGATGTGTTAACTCATCTCTACTAAGATTAGTCATTAAATTTCCTTTGTGCTGTACCAATGCCTTGAAGAAATACATTTTGGAGATTGTTAAAAGGAAAGATGTGCATAGAGGAAAAAACATATTCTTAAGATATTTTAGCAAAGCATTGTGACTGCTTGACAATTAATAGAAAAAAGATTCTGAAGCAAAATGGCAGAAACAGCATTCTCTTCTTCTGTGATAGCTGGATAATCTTCAGCTAAAAGATTATATTCCCCAGTCTTCTTTACAGCTGTGTTATGGTCAAGTGATTAGATTCTAAACAATTAGAAGTTATTGGATGGAATCTCTGAGAAGTCCCCTTAAAAGGGGAGAACACAGAAATAGGATCCTTCCTTTTTTCCCTTCTTTGGCCCAGATATGATGATCAGGGCTCTGGTTGCCATCTTATCACTTTGAAAGGGGAAGCCATATGAGAAATATGGGGACGGAAAGGTATAAGGAGCTTACGACACCATGGAGCCACCATATTGGCCCTAAAGGTCTTATTTTATATAAGGGAAAAAAGTTTGTATTGTCACATTTTATAAACTGATAAAGGCATACAACCAAATATTTTTGGAGATCCCTGGCCTGTGAGAAAGCATGGAGCACCCATGATTGGTGGTAAGGACTGGATACAGCAAAGAGTGAGTAAACTAGGTCACAAGGGAATAGGAAAAAGTTTAGGGAGGAAGAAAAATGCCTTTTAGAACTGCACCAAGCTCCACTAAGGTAATAATTGAACCTGAAAGCCAAGGAGCTCTCCTTTGCTTAGGTTCCTTCAGAGGCACACTAGAGCTTTCTTGAAAGAATAAACTTCTTCATCAGCCTTGGTCATCACTCTATTCTCACTTCCTGCCACTCCCCTTCCTCTCTTTTGCTCCACCATTCCTTTTGAAGACTTGTTCAAACATTAATTCTTCATCAAAAGGGCAAAGTCCAGCGGAAGAGTGAGAGAGATAAAAGCAGATAAATGTAGACAGGCCACATTAAAATCATTAAACTACAACTTATGATCAAGACCAAGTAGTCATATTATTGCCTGACAGTTAAGTTTTGATTTAAAAGGTTGTAAAACTCAAGAACCAAGGCAAATTTTTATACAGACAAATAGAAGAGTCCATTCATTTCAATGCATTGTGACAGTAACTTCAACAGAAGTCTCATGGCTATTGAACTCACTTTCAACATCATAGTCAAAGAATGAGTTTCTGTACTTTTCTCTCGATTCCTTGCCTGTTAACGATATATGGCATATGGTTTCAATTTTTGAATCAGAATATTTAAGTTGCATCTCCACTTTTTCACCTTCAATAAATAAATTTTTCCAAAAGCAGATTTTCCATATAACAAATTGACTTTGAGTCCTTTTTGAACTCCTTATGAAATCTTACCAAAAATCTTTGCCATATTTATTCATTCAACAAACGTAAGGTCAAGATCTTAAAAGCTCAGACTTGTGTCTTCATAAAGAAAACATAAATCTCATAATCATAAATATATATATATATATATATAATATGCACACATAGATCATTTCACAAAACATTTCATTTAAGGAAACTGAGCTCGTAGGGCTATATGATTTAAGTTTACACAAGGATCGTCATGATTTCAGAGTCCTAGCATTAGCTGCAATGAAACATTGGTCTTGTTTCCTTTTAATACAAAGGATTTGTATTTATACTCAAATCATGATTTAACTGACAACTAAAAGCAAATTAATTATACAGAGACAAAATTTTCTTTTTTCTTTAATATTCACATTTACCACTTCCTAAAATTATTAAATGTTTTGTAGCAAGCAATGTAATATTAGATATACAATTGTCATGCTTTAAGAATGTAAGTAAAAAGGAACATAGGTAATCAATGCTGTTATTATTGCTAGATAATGCAGACTGGAGCCTATATTTACCTTATTTGCAGTGTGGCATTTTATATAAAATAGATTTTAATTTAAAAAGTAATTCAGATTTTATCAGTAAGGACCCTTCATATGCATGTTATAGAAACCCCTATTCAGATTGATTACTATAAGGAAATGTATTGACTCATGAAGTTGAAAAGTTCAGAATTAGGGCAGCTTTTAAGTTTGACCCAAAGGTCCACAATGTCATCAGGTCTCATCTTCCTGGAATTCTCTTAGCTTTACTTCCTCTGTGTATTTTCTTCATCCTTTAGCTGGCTTCCCTCATGTCAGAATGTGAAGAAGAAAGCTGCCAGTGACTTCTAGGCCTCCTTTTTCGGTGGAGGAGGTTACTTTTACCACAACCATCAATTAAAAAATCACATGATTGTATCATCCTTCATCATATTATGACTTTCAAACTAAAGATGTCAGCAAAAAAGATGGAATTATCTTGATTGACTTAGGACAATTGTGACTGCTAGAGTTAGGGGTGTAGTCAATCTCATGAGAACCTTATGTCTGTTATTTGGGGTAAAGAGTGAAACAAATCTTTAGATGAGAGAGCATGAGAGACCATCAGAATGCTTCCTGCTAAGGAGATAAGCAGTATTTCTAAAGCATACTCTTTACTTGCCCTAATATTATGTCCAGTCATATGAAAACATATGGTTCTTACACCGGAAGAAATCACAATCTAGACTGTATAAATTTTACCTATAAGGAAATTACAGTCCAGGAGAGGAGATAGTGAAGTGATCAATAAATGCAATATTGTGTGACAAGAATTGCATAATCAAAACATAATCTTGGAATGACATCGAGCTTTAACTCAACCTCTGCTATACTACTGTAGATGTGAGGCCGTAAGCACATTCCTTGTGCTATACTGGTGTTTGCCTTCAGTGTTACCTTCATGTTTGCCAGATGGCTACAGGGGATGAACTATCTCTTCATACAGCCATGTCAACAGACCTCAAAGAGAAAGTTAAGAAGTTAATTATAGGGGACAGTGGGTGGGGGTGGGTATATGGGAACCCTTTGTACTGTCTTTTCATTTTTCTATAAATCTGTAACTGTGCTAAGCAATAAAGTATATTTTTGAAAAGAAAAAAAAGGAAGGTATGCATCTGTTGTTAAGAGCAACAAAATTCTGTCAGAATCCACCTCTCCCATTGACCCACTATTAGTCCCAAGCACACAGTAGGTATACAACAAATGTTCGTTGACTAAATGAATGACATACCCTAAATAAGTGGTAGCAGTTTGCACTACAATTAGATTCACTTGGGAAGGTAACCAAAATACGTCCTCCTAAACCACCCTCATGGTTAGTGTGTGGAAGGATCTTAGCATAGTGTATAGTAATGCAAAAGCTCAATCAATGGTTATTAATGTTATCTTAAAAATATTTCATCTGATCAGGGAAGCTTTCTGCAAGATGAGTCACTCTGACCATTGAAGACAGAGGCAGTGTGAAATTTCCCAGTTGAGAAATGACAAAAGAAGGAAGCCAGAATTAGTGAGTGTGGGGAAGGTAGACAATTAAGAAGATGCTAAGTACTTAATTTCCAGTTTGACATCATCAAGTATAGAAGAGGAGTCTAGAAAGACCTCAAGCTTTCTGGCATGATGGAACTAGTGTTGGTAGATGTTGGTGTCATTTGTTAAGAAATGAATGCCAGAGAAGTGTCTGGTTTGATTGCAGAGGCAGAGGTGCCAGTCCCGGGAGGAACATGATAAATCAGAGGTGTCTGCAGGACACTCTAGTGCAGATTTAATTGTAGTGCAAACTGCTACCAGTTATTTAGTGTATGTCATTCATTCAGTCAACAAATATTTGTTGTAAACCTACTGTGTGCTTGGGACTAAATTGAATCATTGATAAGCCTTCTCTTTCGTAATTTTTGCGATAGGTGGCCAGTGACCTCCAGCCATCACTTTTGAGGCCAGTTTTGGAATCCATTCACTGCCACATCATTGATAATAGTTAACTGTCTTGTTGGCAGCAACATCCTCAGACACAAAGGCCACATTACATGTGTTAACCCAGGAGTGTTTTTATCTACCTCTCATTATAATTAGAATCAGGCCTGCATCCTCATTAACTATTTCTCTTTCCATAGATGTTGGAGAACCTGACAAACAAATGCTTGAAAACGCATTGAGTGCAATTGACTGATGAAATAGCATATTCAAATACCTATTTTAAAAGCTTAATGTTATATACACACATATATATAAAACTTTTGTTATATACATGTATGTATGTGTATATATATATGTATATATATATATATAAAACTTAATATGCATCCATGCTTTACAAGTTATACAGAGTTTTCATAGATATGATCACATTTGATTTTCAAGAAAACATTGACAGGCACGATTTTTAAATTAAACTTTTATTTTGAGATATTTTTAGATTCACATATAAAGAAATAATGCAGAGAGATTCCGTGTACCCCAACTGAGTTTTCCCTCAGTGATAACACTGCAAAATATGCAGTGCCATATCACAACCAAGATGATGATATCCATACGGTCAAGATACAGAACATGCCTGTCACCTTAAGCTTCCTCATGTTGCCTCTTCGTAGTCACACCTGCTCCCTACTGCCATGCTCCTGCCTTAACTCTTGACAACGACTAATCTGTTCTCCATTTTTATATTTTTGTAATTTCAAGAGTATTATAAATAGAAGCATATAGCATGAAAGTTTTTGCAATCGGCTTTATTTTGTTGGCATATTTCTCTGGATATTTATCCAGCCTGCTGGTATCAGGCTGCATGTATCAGTAATTCATTTTCTCTTATTGCTGAGTACTATTCCCATGGCATAGATGTATCACAGTTTGTTTAATCATTCACTGGTTGAACAACATTTGTGTTATTTCCAGTTTGAGGCTATTAGAATTTATCTGCTATAAACATTCTTGTCCATTTTGTGTGTGGGGGGGGGGGAACACACATCTTCATTTTTCTGGAATAATACTTAAGTCTACTTTTGTTCTCCTATTTCTTCCGGTTCTTAGTACTCTGTTTACATTTTTCTCCTTCACTCAAACATTTTTTCCAAAAATTATATTTTGCCTGGTCTATAGCATTTTGAGCGCATTTCTTTGTACAGCTTATTTGTGGTTTTACTGGATATATACATAACTTACTGCAGTCTCCTGGTGCCACTATTTCATCAATTTGAATGACATATAGAACTATCACTTGTCTTTTTATCGTTAACCCTTCGTTGCAATAATTGTCTTAAATATTTCCTCTACATACATTTAAAGCCACATCAGACAGTGTTATATAATATGACGTAGAAAACTCTAAAGGAGAAGGAAAATTTACTGTGTTTGCTCACATTTTTACTCTTTGTATTGTATTTTTTCCTTTTCTGATTTCCAAGTTTCTTTTATCATTCTTTCTGTTTTAAAAACATTTTTAAGACTAGGTCTTTAGGCAAGACATTCTCTTAATTGTACTTCATCTATGAATGACTTGATTTCCTTTTGTTTCCTAAAGGATATTTTTATTTAATATAAAATTCTGGGTTTAAATTTTTTTCTTTGAGTGCCTGAATATATTATGCCACTTCCTTTTTACCTTCATAGTTTTGGAAGATAAATCTGCTATCATCCTTATTTTTCATCTATAAGTAAGACGTTTTACTCTGGCTGCTTCAACATTTTTTTTTTTTTTGTCGTAGGCTTTCAAAATTTTAATTATCATATATCCTGACATCAATTTATTTAGCCTTATTATTTTCAGGCTTTGTTCAGCCTCTTGAATCTATAAGTTTATGCCTTTTCCAAAAGTGGGGAGTTTTCAGCCATCATTTCTTCAAGTATGTTTGCGGTTCCTCCCTCTTCCTCTCTTTTCAAGACCCTGGTGTCATAAGTACAGACATATTATTATAGTCTCACAGGCCCCTAAGGATCTGCTTTTTTATTTTTCCTGCCTATTTCTCTTTTTTTGCTCAGATTGAACAATTTCTATTGTTCTGTCTTCCAGTTCATCAATTCTTTCCTCATTCCTCTCCAATCTGCTTTTCATTCCATCAAATGATATCCTTACTTCAGTTATTATAGTTTTCATTCTAAATGTCCATGGGTTTAATTTTTATACTTTCTGTTTCTTTGCTGAGATTTTCTATTTCTTGGTTGAGGTTGTAGTTTTGTTCCTGGCATTGGTCCTAATTGCTTGTTCAAACATTTTTATCATAGGTGCTTTAACATTTTTAGCAGATAATTTTAACATTTCTGTTTCTTGGTGTTGAAATTTATCGACTATCTCTTTTCATTAATTTTGAGATGTTCCTGGTTCAGGGTATGATGAATCATACTCTATTGAAACCTGGACATTTTTGCATCATGTTAACATGATTTATGATTTATTACAAACCATTTGTTTTAATAATTTTGACACTGCTTCAGTGAGATGGGAGGCACCACTTTTTTACTGCTTGTAGTGACCACCTTGTTACTGCCAGAAGAGGTCTGGGCTCCCCCCTTGACATCCAATGACACCTGTGTGGTAGAGGCAGGGAGGAGAGAAGCATCTCACTATTTCTGAGTACAGGTTGGAGTTCCACCTCCCCACGTGGTCTCCACGGATGTGGTAGTGGCTTCATTACTCTAGGCAATAGTGACAGTCCTGAATTTCCAATAGGTCTCTTCTGATACCACCACAGCGAGGAAGTATAGAGATACCTCGTTACTGCTGTATGTGGTCCAAGCTGCTCATGTGGACTCCACTGGCACCATGAAAACAGAGGGAAGCAGAGTGGGGATGTCATTACTGGCCAGTAGGGATGAAAATCTTTCCTTCTAACTTGGCCTTCTTTGATGCTACCCTACTAGAAGTGTTAGGGGTCCTCATTGCAGACTCAAAGGGTAGAAACCTAGGCTCTTCATATGTCTTTTACTGATATAGATAGGTGTGAGGCCACAGTATTTCACGTGGTATTTTGTTGGAGGACTTACGCTGTAAAATGTTTCTGTCTTGATAGGTTGCCTTTTTCCCTAATGTTTTGGCTAGAGAGAAGAGGCTTTTGTTGGAGCTTAAATTTTATTTACTCTTGCCTCTTGTGTTTATAGGTTTCTGGCTTCTTCAGCTTCATGTCTGAGATATGTGAAGCAAATAGGAAGCCCACAACAATTACTGCCACGTGCTTTCCCTCGGTCCAGGCATCCCAAACTGGCTTGTCTTTATCTTTCCTCCTTTTCTCGTCTTCTTCCATGTGCCTAATACATAATGTCTGGGGTTTTTATTGTACTTACCAACAGGAATAGGAAAAATGTTCCTATGCCATCTTCATGGAAATGAAAGTCTGGCATGACTATCAAAAATAAACTGGACTCAGGAATGTTGAGTAAATTGCTCAGGGTCACCCACTTAGAAAGTGAAAAATCAAGAAAGAAGTCAATAATGAGCACTCTAGAGTGCAATGGCCGGAGTTTGGATTCTAGATCTATCACGCACTCTAAATATTATTAGCACATTTTTTTTTGACCCCAGGCCCCTTTGAGAATAGGGTAAAAGCTACAATCTTCTAGTTTGAAAAACATACTTATGTAGATACATATAACAATTTGCACTTCATTTGAGTTCCTTCCATGAATCCTAGCCTAGGATCCCCTGTTTTGGAAAAAAAAGCATATTATAGGCCTGTAGGTAGGGAAGAGAGAAACCACATTTATAAGAACAGGACCGAGAAACATTCTGAAAGGCAGTTTCCTGGTTCAAGTGTGGCTGTCGGAACCAAGAGGCTCTGAGGCCTTGAATGAATGGAGAATGACCACAGGGGCATCAAGCAGTGCCAAGAGCAGTGGTTATACTACAAGACGCTGTCCTCATCCCCGCCCCCTCAGCGGTGATTCGCCTGACCAGGCGGCTCCACTGGGCTCCTCTGTATGTATAGATATCATCTGCTGACTGATGATTACCAAACTAGAGAAGCTGGAGCAATGTGCTCAGGGCACCCTGGCTCCAGGACACTTCTGGACCCTTTCTGGATAGGAAGCAAATGATATTGCTTGGATACTGATATTTCTGGATAGGAAGCAAATGATTTTGCAAATGGACTTAAGCACACCAGTGTACCCTGAGCTGGGGACAGAGATAAAAGACTGGCATAGAGTTTGACATACAGGACAACAGAAAAGAAAGGTTAAGAAAGCTATGAGGAACAGAGGAAAGAACAGTCAGACAATCAATTTGTATTTTGGCATTTACTAGCTAGGTGGCCTTGGACAACTCACTAATGTCTTTGAATATCAATGTCTTCATCTGTAAAATGTTGATAACATAAACAATAATAATTATATATTAATAATTTTCACATCATATGGTTTTTTTTTTTTCACATCACATAGTTTGTATGTGTAGCAAGATCACATACGCAGAGCTTCTTTGTGAATTGGAAAACACTATACCAATATTATTTTCTAGGTCTAGCCAGAGATTGTATACTTCATCCAGGAGCAGAATTTGATGTACAGAATTGTTACCTTTTGTAAGATATTTATGTAAAGGATTGATATGAAAACACATAACAATTCTATGGTAAAATTGTGATCTAGTTTTCTCTACTTAGAGAAAAATGTCCTAGGGAACATGGGTGCTCCCCATAAAGAAAAAATATGTTTTATTGGAGCCGATGGCTGAGGAAAAAAAAAGTAGAGTGTAATAAAAGCTATCTATACAATTAGTCAAATAAAACATTAAGTGTTACAAACATAGTTCAATGTTTTAAATGTCTTTTAAGGGTTTTACATGTGGAGGCAAAATGATGATGATGAATATCAAAGGTAACCTCTCTGAACTATTTTCTCTGCAATCCTAAAGAACTGGCAGCATTCTAATAGTCTTTAGGTGAGGAATGACTAAGTGAGGAACAGATGATTCAGTTTTATTATAAGTTGGAGACAGGCATTCACCATGGCAATTCTAAGCAATAACCAATGAGTCCTTTGTCAGATTCAGGAAGGAGGTAACCCTTTGAAATGCCTGAAGGCAAAAGTGGCACAGGGTGTTCAAATGATTCTGTGGGTTAATAATTAAAAACCTCTTGAGACTTGTGCAAATGATTATGCAAGAGCACCTATCACACTGTGCATTCCTAACCTCTGACACACTAAAGCATAAGTGTTTTGTTACCAAATAGTACTTGCAATCTTTCTTAGCCATGTATCTAAAGTTTCTGCATTTCGAGAGCTGTTGTGAATTGACAAAAGTCAATTTGTCATTGATAAATATTTAGTTAGCTTTCGTAGATGGGAGGAGTTAGAAATGGATAAGAACTCAAGGTCTCCCCACATCCATGATACCCAGGTAACGTTTAACTATAAAAATAAATCTCAGATTGAATTTTCTACATGTACAAATGTTTATTGGCAAGCCCACATGGACCTCTTCTGTAAACTAAGTGAAGACTTTGCTCTTGATCCTTCAGCATGCTGTGACAGTATTTTGCAGGAAATCACCACCGTAGAAAAATGTGAAAAATGTTGAGAAGTAGGATACAGTTAGTCTGAGATCAAATGACAGACTATTACAAAAATGGCATAAGACAGGACTGGATGCTTAGGCCTAGATTACTCCAAAGGATATAAGATTGTATGTCCTTTTCATGCCACAGGAGGCGTGCCTGTACAATCCTGTAAGCCAGTCTATATATTTTGAGCACAAATCATGTCAACAATGAAAATTTATTTCTGACCTCCCTTATGCGAATTAACAAAGTTTCTGAAGTTAAAAAAAAGAAAAGGATTGGCTGAAACAATTGCAGAATCTTTCCAGGGGTGCAGACTTTTGAGAAGACTTTCCCAAATGCTACCACATCTTTGAAATATTTATTTTTGATTATGCTACAAAATTTCCAGTAAATCTGAAGTATTTGTTGATTATAATTAATATGCACTCATTGTATATGTTTTAAGATGTATAGTATCATGAATTTGAAGTACATACCCATTAAATACAACTCTTAAAACTGTTATAATCTTTTCTCTGATAGCAACTAAATAAATCCACCTTAAGGTAAATATTTTTAAGTCCATTAACCTACATTGGTAAGTGGCGTTGTACTTTTGAGAAATGAATAATTAAAACAATTTGTTGTAATTAAAGGAATTAATTATGTTTGATGAAGTGTCTGACTTCCAAGGTTTGTGGCCTAGTTTGTTTAGTAACTATTAAACTGAATGACTGTGGCACTTGGAATGTAATGTCCAAATGGGAGTGTCATCCAGTATTTTTAAGGAAGCACATATTGAGTTAGAAAGATTGAAACTGTTTGTTGTAATATTCCTTTTTTAAAAATTAAGAATTTGAGATGAATGTTTTACCATGATGAAATTTATTAACATAACTATCAAGGATGTAAATTCTCTCTCTGGAAATGAAATCTGTCTTCATCTGCTTGTGCCATTTTCAATTTTACAAAGCATATTTCAGCATTTTAAGAAGTTTTGTGCAGGTGTTTAAATTCTGTGATGAGCATTATGACCCTCATTTTGCGATCAGGCATTGTGGGACCAATCCAGATTTTATTTCTGAAATTCACAACTTTCAAAGTCCCAGTTCTTAAATATTACAAATGCAATATTGATTATTTCTCATAGTTCTGCAAAGTGGGATCATCTTGCTAGTTCTCCTCTCCCTGGTATTTGCTGGGGCTAGAAAAATCCAAGATGGTTTCTTCACTCACATTTCTGGTGCCTCAGGTAGGAGGCCTAGAATGGTGGGTAGCTGGCCATTTCTCCACGTGGCCTCTCAAATGGCTAACTTGGGCTTCCAAGAGCCATGATGGATTCTGGCTATTCAAATTTCTTATGTGGTAACTGATTATATTTTTTAAATTGTATTTTGTTTATTATTATCATTATTATTATTTTAGATACAGGGTCTGACTATGTTGCTGAGGCTTGACTCGAATTCCTGGGCTCAAGCAATCCTCCTGCTTAATAGCTCCCTAATGGCTGGGACTCCCTAGTCTCCCTAATGGCTGGGACTATAGGTGCACTCTGCTGCATCTGGCAAAACTGGTTTCTGAGAGAGGAGGTCTCTTTTTGAGGCTAGTCCCAGAATTGGCACTAATGGTTAGTATCACTTCCACTATATTCTACTGGTGAAAGCTAGTACAAAGCCAGCACAGATTCAAGGAAAGGGAAAATAGATTCCATTCCACCTCTCATTGTGCAGAACAATGTGTGAGTACAGTGAAACAAAGAGGAGATGGTGGCTATCTTTACAGACTATCCACCATACTCAAATCATGTCTGTATTGAGGTAGTTGCTGGTATTGATTCAGTGGTTCTATGCTGATACTTTGGCCTTCTTCTCATTGTTGACAGGTGATTGGAGCATCTCAGACTGTTTTATCCCTTGCAATTATGTTCAAAGGTAGGAAACAGGTGAGGGTGAGGGACAGAGTCCTTTTCCTTAGGCACTTCTTTTTGAACAGGTAGTAAAAGAAATTTCCCATGAGCCCCCATCAGATTTCTTCTTGCAGCTCACTGACCAGAACTGGGTCATATATCCACCCTTAGACAAGGACGGGGCATTTCCTTAAGAGAAGCTGTTTCCAAATCCTAAACAAAATTAGTGAACTAATGGCAAGATGGGAGAGAGAGTGGACTTTAAGTAAACAAGGAAGGATGTTGGACATACTCTTTAACTGTATGTATAATTTAATTTGTAGGTAACCCTAAAAGTCTAAATTGTAGTCCCACTGCCTTCCTTATCTTCAGCCCCCACTACCAAACCTCATGGTAGTTCTTGTCTGCAAGAAGCTTTGTAGTTTTACCAATTGAAAATTATTTAACCTTGCTTTTCTATGATTCCTTACCCTTTATATCCCTTATATCTCTTAGCTATTGCCTCGAAAGTTCTAGATAGCAAACCAACCCAAATTTAGTGATTTAAACAGCATTGACTTATTCTTCCGCAGACCCCTATGGATGGGCTAGAGGTAGGCTTGAGATTGGCTGATGGAGGTCTGGCTGAGATTCAATCAGGAGGTTGGTTCACGTAGGTTCCACATGTCTCTCATCCTCCCTGCATTTGCCATTCTTTAATTGCCTTCCACTGAAAATAATCAGTATACCAAAGCAGCGTATTCTGGGGTGGCATTTCCTGAAATCCTTCACTGGTCAGGTGGCAAAGATGAACCATCTGATCAACTTGTTCTGGAGAGTGAAACAAGTCTGGAGCTAGACAGGACTAAGTTCAAATCTGGGCTCTGTTCTTTCCCTAGCTATGAGACCTTTGCCAAATACTTAATCCCTTTAATCCTCAAATTCTTCATTTGTAAAGGGAAAGATTAGAATAGTATTGCAATGACATGCTCCAAAATTTAACAAGGATTATCTTTGGATAAGAGGGTTAAGAGTCCTTCTAACTTCTGCCTTAAAAAAAAAAAATCTATATTTCCTACCCACAATTAACATATATTATCCTTGTAATTTTCAAAAAGCTATTTTTTCAAAACATACTATTAATGCTTTCTGTACACATGTGACATAATTGCAAGTTCTATTAATATCTGTGAAGACCTGCAAACAAGAGAATGGATTAGGAAAACTGATACTATTTTTCTCTCTATTGAAGACAAGAAACATACACTGACTATTATCTGTAGAGCACTGAGTGTGGTTCTATGTTGAAAAAGGAATATTTTGTGCTTTCAAAAACTTTACAATTGGTATGGAAGCATTCCAATAAATAAATAAATAACAATAATGCACTCCATGTTAGAATGGGGCAAACATTAAAAAAAATGCCTGAATAAACTAAATGCTCCCTGGGTTATCCCTGGGAAAGGAGTAAGCATAGTAGGTGAAGCATCACAAAATACTTCCTGGAGGAGCTGGCATCCTGGATGACCCACAAAAGGTGTATGACCCTCACAAACTAACTACAGTCTCAGTAGCTTATTGGTTTGCTTCACAATAAAAGGAAAACTGGTCAAGAGATAAGGGCTGAGAATGAGACTGGTTAATTTATAAGGAGAAGACTCTCCCTGTTAACTGCTCTAGCTGACAGTAACCTCAACAGCCACATGACAAAAAGCTCAGAGATGTAGGAAGTCCTTCCCTCATCACAACTGAGAGATGCAAGGTTTAAATAAACCACACTTAGATGCAGTTCAACTGTGTGCGTGCGTGTGTGTGTGCACGTGCACACGGGTGCGCACAGAGTTTGTAAAACTGGTAAAATAAAGATTGCCAACTTTTAAAATTTCTGTTCAAATTGATATTTACTGTTTTTCAACTCGTTAAGGGCTTAAAAATTATCTTCCTTGTTTTTCAAACCCTGAATCAGGCTATTATTCTTTTGTCCCCATTTGCAAATGGCCCGGTTTTTTACATGTACACATTAACTGCTGATACGAATGCACAAAATATTACACTAAAGCCTTATGTGGGAAAACAATGTCTTGATTGAGGGTATCAGACATTCATTTCAATAAGAATTTCAAAAGGAAGGGCATCATGACACTTTCTTTTTCTTTTTTTTTTTTTTTTTTTGGTTTTGTTTTTGAGACAGGGTCTCACTCTGTCTTCTAGGCTGAAGTGCAGGGGCACAATCATGGCTCACTGTGGCCTTGATCTCCTGGGCTCAAGTGATCCTTCCACCTCAGCCTCCTGAGTAGCTGGCCCTACAGATACACACCAACATGCCTGGCTAATTTTTTAACGTATTTTTAGTAAAGATGAAGTCTCACTATGTTACCCAGTCTGGTCTCGAACTCCTGGGCTCAAATGATCCTCCCATCTAGGCCTCCCAAAGTACTGGGATTGCAGGTGTGGGCCACTGCACCCAGCCTGATGAATTTTTAAAATTATCAAATTGCAGTGTACCTGAGTTTACATCTCTATTATTTTTATTATGATGATTTTCAAAAGACTAGTTTGCACTTGGCAATGCTGAATTCTGATTCTTCTTAATTTCACAGGAGATTAAAGATTAAATCAGAAATGTTAAGGACAAACAAAATCAAAATCAATGTTAATGATGTACGATGACAAAGAACACCAGTTAAACATTCTATGATGGATTCAAATACCTAGCGTCCAACAATGTAAAGCATCTGTCTTTGTGAAAATTATGGAAAGGAAAGCCTTTGGAACCTATTGGACATTTATTTGCCACATTGCATTTTGAGGAGAAAGAAAGTATATGTATGCAATCCAGAGGAACTTGGGCAAATGTAAGAAAAAACAACAAAAACAACAAAAAAGAAAGAAACCCACATACTTCTCCATTCTTCAGAAAAGGAAGTAATGGTGACATCATTCTCGGCTAAAATGCAGTCTGTTTATAACTCAAACTATTAGGTAACAATGTCTTCTCCAGAGCTTTGAAGTAACTAGAACGATCAATTTCCTTCTAAATTTTCTTCTAAATCTTTATTGCTTGATTCATTTATTCATCTAACATATATTTATCAAACATCGATTACATGTTAGATGCTTAGGAACACAATAGTAAGTGGAGGGAAAGATATATCGTATCTGCCCTCAAGAAATTTGGAGTTGAGCGGAGGATAGGAATAGAAATTAAAGAATGACACAAATAATTATAAAGGGACAGCTGTAGTAAGTGCTTTAAAAGAAAGGCATATGGTGCCATGAGAACCTAAAATAAAAGATCTACTCATGGAGGTCAGGGAAAGTTTGCCCATCAGAGAAGTTATGATTCAATCCACGAAGACCAGGAGTTGGCTGGGTGAAGAAAACAAGGACAGAGGAAGGAAGTCCATACTGGGGAAGGCTCTGCGCATAAAGAGTAGGAGGGATACAGAGACACATTCATGGAATTTGGAGAAGGCTTTCAGCAAGCAAGGAGAAGCCAAAGGAACGTTTACAGGGGAGGTGGAGGCTTGAAGGCACGTTCAAGTATCTGGTTTTTATCTTCTCTTTATCTCAAGAACAGTAGGAAGCCATTAAATGATTTTAATCAGAGGGTTGGTATAACCAGTTTTGTATTCAGCTCTGGATTGAGAAACTGAGTGAAAGAGCCCAGAATGGCCGTGGCTGAGGGTGACTGGTGAGAGGCTCCTACGCAAGGGATGGTCGTGACATGGGCTGGTGGCAGAAGCGGCAATAGGGAGAAGATCTGGAACTCAGTCTTCCTCTATTGCCAAAGAGGAAGGCAAGGCAATGAATTGGTGGGAAAGAAGATGCCTAGCCCTTCTGATTTCACTGCACTTTTTGCATCTTCAACATGAGAGCTGGGATGTGTCAAAACAAGCAGAGGCAGCTTGGGTGTTAGGTGGAGCAAGAGTTAAAATTCCAGGATGAAGCAAATGAACTCTTAGAATCACAGGGAAGATTTGGGAGTCGGCTTTGGGGGAGGGCTATTTACCTTTATTCCCTGGAGACCGTGGCACAAACCCTGGCCTCTTAGGTAAAGGAATTCATTGAATGAGTCGCCGGAAGATCTGACCAGAGGGCTGTACAGAATCATATCTTTGAGAGCTGGAAGTACGTTGATCACATAGTTTATTATCCAGTCAGGATGTATCTGAAAGAGAAAGGGGGTTCTATTAACATTTAAGCTATAAAACAAGTACACAGAGGAACGTCTTGGGCAAATCTGGTTGTCCTGGCAAGAAAGGAAATTGGAAAGTTTACGCTGTCCCGCGCCCATGTTACTCCTTTTGCACAGAAGGGGCTAAGTATTCTCTTTCTTGACCTGTATTAAGGGAATAAAAGCACCAGCATTCAGGTGACTCCCAAGCCACTTTTAATTTTACAGTTTCTGCTATACTGCATACATTCTGAAAATTACGTTTGCCACCATTATTGCTTCGTGATAGGTGATCATGTACAGTTAGCCCCAGGAAGAGGCGGTGCAAAGTGGGAGGCTCTATCCAGGTGCTCATTAGAAAAGCAGAATCTCAACCTGCCTCCTAGACCTACTGAATTAGAATCTGCGTTTTCTTTTAACAAGATTCCCAGGTGATCAATATATACATTCAAATGAGAAAAACCTCTAGACTTTGACCTACAGTAAGAAAAAATTTTACTCCTTGACAGCGTATGCACATACATGCATGGCTAGAGACACAACTGAAGCAAAAGTTTAATGAAGTCATACTTACCGTTACTATTTTATTCGGGAAAGAAATGTGCCCCCGACTCACTAGATTTGACTATTCACTGCTGGATCTCAACGTGTCATTTGAAAACGCATCTCTCAAGCACTTAGGGGCAGGGCAGGCTGCAGACAGCTGAGGGGAGGCGGCCGATGTTCTGATGGACCAGGGAAAACGTGGACGTTTTCTGGTGTTACTTTGTGACCTACGTGCACTTAGTCACTCCTGAGTAAATCCTTGGAGCGAGGCGCTCCTGAGTGGGGCGGGAGGGCGGTGAGGGGCAGCGGAAAGTCGCCAAAGCGCTCGCAGGGGCTGGGCTAGGAAGCATGATTGGCAGCTGCGAGAGCGCCGGGGCCGGGCGCGGAGGAGCGCAGAAGGCCGCCGGCGGAGCGAGGTCCTGCCCAGCTGTTGGCGAGGAGTTTCCTGTTTCCCCCGCAGCGCGGAGTTGAAGTTGAGTGAGTCACTCGCGCGCACGGAACGACGACACCCCCGCGCGTGCACCCGCTCGGGACGGGAGCCGGCCTCCTGCGCTGCTTGCCTCGGCCGCCGGGGGCCTCCCCGCGCCTCGCCGGCCTCCAGCCCCTCCTGGCTGGCGAGCGGGCGCCACATCTGGCCCGCACCTCTGCGCGGCCGGCCCGGCGCGGGGTCCACGGAGGGCGCGGCCCGGGGGCGCAGCCAGGGGTCCGGGAAGGCGCCGTCCGCCGCGCTCGGGGCTCGGTCTATGACGAGCGGCGGGGTCTGCCATGGGTCGGGGGCTGCTCAGGGGCCTGTGGCCGCTGCACATCGTCCTGTGGACGCGCATCGCCAGCACGATCCCACCGCAAGTTCCGAAGTCGGGTGAGTGGCCCCCAGCCCGGGTTCGGCGGGGCGCCGGGGGTCTTCCTGGGCTCCCCGCCCCTCCGCCGCGCTTGACAGTCGGGCCCGGCCACCCGGCGCCCGGGCGGAAACCAGGAAAGTTTCCCCCGCGGCACCCGCGCAGCCCGACTCCCGTAGCCGCGGGGATGTGTGAGTTTTTCTTGAGAAAGAGAAGGAAAGTTCAGCTGCCAGGGGCGCGGGGCATGTTCGGTCCCCTTTGTGCGAGCAGGAAAGGCGTTGTGCGGGCCGCGTTCGAGGCGAGCCCCCACCCCCGGAAAGGGAAGTTTGAGAAGTTGGTTATCTGAAGGCGGCCGGGAGCCGCGGCGCGGGGCGGCAGCCTGAGCTGCCAAAGCAGCCAGCACACCTGGGCCCCTCCGCCCGTGGCGATGCCGCGCGCCCACCCAGCTCTTTCCCTGCCGCCCCTTCCAAAGGCCACCTCCTCAGTCCTGAGCGCCTGGACACGGCCACGCATGCCCTCAGGCCCGCTTCTTGGCCCGGAGTTATTGGATACAAGTTTCAAGAAAATAAGAGATTTCCAAAGGAAAGTTAGCTGGCTCCACTGACGCCTTGGCAGCACGGATGGGTAGGGAGTGGAGACGCTTGGGGAAAACCGGGAATCCTTCACTAAATGCCTACTGGGTGCTAGAGGCTGGAGATTTTGCCTGCAACAAGACAGTCCTGTCTTCAGGGAGTTGATGGTTCTCTGCAATGATCGTTTGTTGGAAACCGAAGGGTTAAAAATCCCAACTAGGCTACCCACCTGACCGCTGTCCCTGAAGGTTTTGAAGAAAAAAACACAAAAAACATATATATGCAGGAAAGGGTGTTCTTAATGATTTGTTATGGAAAGTGTAAAACTCCTAAGACTTCAAAAGTTAGACTTTTTTTTTTTTTTTTAAAGATTGAGTCGCCAGGCTGGAGGGCAGTGGCACGATCTCGGTTCACTGCAACCTCTGCCTCAGAGGTTCAACCGATTCTCCTCCCTCAGCCTCCTGAATAGCTGGGATTACAGGCGCCCACCACCATGCCCAGCTAATGTGTGTATTTTTAGTAGAGACGGGGTTTCATCATGTTGGCCAAGATGGTCTCGATCTCTTGACCTCATGGTCGCCTCTGAGTCCCAAGGTGCTGGTATTACAGGCGTGAGCCACCGCGCCGGGCGAAAAGGTAGACTTTGCAGCTGTGAGCCATATAACAGTATCTGCAGCTGGTCCGCGTAACCGCGTATTTAGGCAAGTCATAGAACTTTTTCTAGGCCTTAGTTTCCTCATCTGGAAAATGGCAAGGTTAAATCTGAGTAATTTTACATCATCTTCATGTTTAATATATTATGTGTCGTGCCCCTCCCCTCTTTTCCTCCTGGCACTTCTGGTGACTTGGAGATGAGCCATGTAGACTTTGGGTGAAATGGAGAGGAGCTGATAGTCCACATCACCCTGAGGTGCTCATTTTATCTACCCAGGGGCACATTCATCTTTAGGTTTGTCTAGAAATGTTGTAAATTTCAGAGTACATGAAGTAGATTGAGAGCTTTTTAAAAATTATTGCTTACATTAAAGGTGACATGGAGATGGAAGTTTTTAATCAAATTATGAAGAAGCACTATTGCAAGCAAAAAGTCTTAACGCAAATTTGAGTCGTATGGTTTTAATAAAATCTGAGTGTTTTGTTCTTGGCATTTTTCCTACATTGTAGTACCAGAATGTTCAGCTGTCTTTCATTTTCCTCTAGACTCTTAAAACCTGAATTATATTTTGCTAATAAATATTTAAAATGGCACCCTTAATTTTCTGTGAATGTTAAAAATCATTAAAACGTTTGTTCCAGTTTATAAAAGAAGGAAATTAGCAGGCCCTGATGTTGTTAGTTAGGTTCTGTTTACAAGGATAAGATTTATGATTTGCAAATTCCAGACCCAATAGTCATGAGTCAGTTTCATTTCATCTGTATACACACTTTTAAACAATTAGCTTAAAAGTGTGGTGGCTTTTTATTTGGGTTTTTACACAGTTTTGCAAGGCCAACGGATTTCATATTTTTATAGAATTGACGTTTCAAAATGGTTGAATTAATGAATCATTTTTAATTTGTATTCATTTGATTCGAAGTAAACTTTCAAAGTTGGCTGAAGGTTAAAGACAGATATATTGAACACAAGAAACCTAATTCTACTTACATTTTAATTTTTCACGTAAGGAAATAGTTTTAGATTTTTTCTGACAATTGGTAAACTGAAAACGTTTTTCAAAATATCTTAATGCAAGATAAGATGTGAGGGAATGAGACTGTTTATAAAACAACAAGCTCCTTTTATGTCACCTATAAAAGCCGAAAACCTGTCTTCTGTTTAGTAACTTGACAAGTATGCAGAGGATTTAAATATAAGAACACATTTCACTAAGAAATATATCATAATTTTTTTTTTTTATATTTGTTTTTGACTTTGTTTAGATTCACTCTTCCTAAGTGATCAAAACTGAGAAATTACTCTTTTGGGGAAAACTGTAAAGTGTACAGTAACTCTTCAGGACTGAAAAATATGACTTTTACTTTTCAGCTTCCTAAAAGTAGATTCTTATTGAGGACAGAGAATTTGTATAAGTGTCATAGAAATACAGGTTCTTCATGCTATTTTTTCAGGGGAAGAGACTAGACATCATTAGGCCTCAAAGCTGATCTTCGGTCTACTTGTGCTTGTTTTTCCCCCTCATAAAATACATTTTCACCTTTAGGCCACTTCCTTTAACAACATCTTATTTTTAATGAGTTATGGTGTATACAAAATACTAATCACGTTTTCAACTCATTGCCTTCCTTTCAATGTAGCAGCTCCTAATGATGACTGTTGTCCGTGTAGTCAACATAACTGCTACATGTTTTCTACTCAGTTATGAACATGACTTTCTAATTTTTTCTGTAAGGTTAGTTTTTAACTCTGGATCAATACGGCATCTCATCGATATCATTGCAAAAAGTGGCGACTTTTTCTTCTACCTTCTCAATCGTATTTATTGAGTATCTCTTGCCAGGCAGGACGCTCAGACCTGGAACGTCATCTGATGGTGAAAAAGACAGACCTGGTCTTTGCCTTCATTGAATTTAGCAGCTGGGAGCATGTTATAAGCAAAGAAAAGGATACATGTTTTAAACCTTTTATCCTTGGAAGCATTATCGAATACTGGTGTTTTATTTTCTACACCTCATTTTCAAAACCCTGCTTTTTATTGTTGCTGTATACACTAGGAGGATGTACATGTTGAATGTTTCCTTCTTGGTACCCCTGAATATATTTTTGAATCCATTTATTTTCAGTTTCCTATCCCTGCCTTATTATGGAGCCTGAGTTGAGCTGCCTTTAATTGCATTCTCCATTCTGTAGCCGGCATGATGGACCCGATGCGTTCATTAATGGTTCTCTTTGAGGATCGTCTGGTGGTAGAAGAGTGAAGGGTATAAACTTTGGAATCAGGCCGTCCTGGTTCCAAACCCACTTCCCGTTTACTGGCTGTGCAGCCTGTTGTAGTTACTTTACCTGCTAGTTGTCCCTGCTCTCATTTGTAAAAGAAAATTATGGGCTGGGCGCGGTGGCTCACGCCTGTAATCCCAGCACTTTGGGAGGCCGAGGCGGGTGGATCACGAGGTCAAGAGATCAAGACCATCCTGGTCAACATGGTGAAACCCTGTCTTTACAAAAAATTAGCTGGGCATGGTGGCGCGTGCCTGTAATCCCAGCTACTGTGGAGGCTGAGGCAGGAGAATTGCCTGAACCCAGGAGGCGGAGGTTGCTGTGAGCCGAGATCGCGCCATTGCACTCCAGCCTGGGTAACAAGAGCGAAACTCCGTCTCAAAAAAAAAAAGAAGATTATGGAGTTATGGTGAGAACTAAATAAAATATTGTTTTAAAATGTTTAACATGGTGCCTGCAACATAGTAAGTGCTCAATAAATATCAGCTTTTGTTATTACTATTATTATTATTATTATTAACTCCTTAATTGGGCTTACCAAGGGTCTCCAACCTGGTTCTGATTTGACGGCTGCTTGACATCTCACCACAGCTCACACTTTCCCAGTCCGTTTGTGTCACCGTACATATACATAGTGTGAGGGATTTAGGCAGCTCTGCCTTTGTTCAGGATGTCTGGAGCTCCTGCTACCTGGCTAACTTTCACTCATCTTTGAGAGTTAGTTCAAGTGTCATCTTCTTGAGGGTGCCTGCTTTGAATGCCCCAGTTTGAGGTCAATATCTCCTATGAGATACAGACCTCTCACTTAGCTGGTAACGGTATCAAACTGAAGTCATATCTTTACGGAACTGTCTTGCCCATTAAACCTTTAATCCTCTCAATTTTATTCAGTTCTCTATCTCCGGGGTCTCCAGCAGTGCCTGACACATCATTTAGCGCCCAGGAAATGCTGAGCTGAGCCTCCGCTTCATCCTACTGTATCGAGGGCGAGCATTGAACTAAGCAGTCACTGTTTATTAGGTGTTTTTACTT